TTTTTGTTCCCTACATTTCTCCTTAATTGCTAAAAAGGGCCTAACAGGTAAAGGGAGAAAGGACTTTTTCCCTTGAAGGAGTCACAGGCCAATACAGGCTGTATTTACCAGCTGACACTCACACTGAGCTTTCTTTCCTGACTTAGAAACTAGGTGATGGGTTGCCCTGCTACCCTGTTCTTCCATCCCAGATAAGACTGGCTATCTGGACACCAGGTTATATTTCTTGATTTGGACTGGCTTGTGACCTCCACTCTCCATCCCTGCAGTTACCTGGAAAGCCATCTTAGCACCATGTGGTAGGACAGGATATGAAAACAAAACAATAGTCCTGTCAATTCCACAGGGAGTTGGGGAGCCCCCTGGGTCAAGCCCTTGGGCTCCTCCACCTCTGGAAAATCTGCCCTGCCCTTTTCTTTAAAGTGCACTTAATACCAGATGAGGACATTACAGAGGGAATTCTTTTTGGAAAAAAACATTTTTAAATGTGTATCATTGGGGAAAAGTCAGGCTCCAGCTTGAAGGGAAGGCATTTCGAGATACCTATTTTGCCAATGAACTGGAAGCCCCCAAACCAAAAGGTGGAGACGGGAAGAACATGCAGCCCAATATGGGACAGAGAAAGGAATCCAGCCCATCACTGTGGCAAAAAAATACTTAGGAATTTTCCAGTCTGTTTACCCCCAAAGCCAAAGAAGGAATCATTTTGCTTACGCTTGGCTATAACTATCACCGTAGACAGATGAGCAACCATTTGACAGATTGTTGGAAATGGGTTGGCCTCCTCAATTTTTCAAAATAATTTTAAGCAGCTTTGGGTTCTGGTCATGAGCTCTGGGGTAGAGAATATCAAAAGGAGTTTTGAGGAGAAAGGGAAGTGGACCCTTGAGCAATCCATGTTCTTGGTTGTCCAGGGGGCACAGGAAGAGGGAGGCAAAAGGCAGACTTCGGGGGGCAGAGGTGCACACCCAGAACCCCTCCGTTTGGGTGAGGGGTGTCTGAAAAAAATTCACCGTATAATTTAAGCAGTCCTTCCATTTTACCCTCCCCTGTGCTAAATGTGGAAGAGGAGGGAGGAAGAGTCTATTTCTGTATCTTCTCATGACGCTAAGACATTCTTCTGCTTAAGGCTTTGTGTGCGTGCATGTGTGTGTGTGTTTGTGAAGGATCACAGCCCTCTAGCTCCCATTTTCCTTTTATCATCTCCGTGACTAACACCATTCAGTGTGAGAGATGCATATAGGAGAGGAAGAAGAAACACTGACCCTCCTCCCTATGGCCCCAAATGAGGAGGGTATACTATGCTTAGAAATTGCTAAATACACCATTAGATACTAGAGAGTATGACAGAGAGAAGAGAGAGACATAGCAGCAGCTTTTGATATATAGATACAGAGTACAAAGAGATACAGAGTAAGAGAAGACATCATACATAGTACAGTCGGACAACAAGGATTGGGGAGGGAGTTAGTATCAGAGACCACAGGTTTGCAGCATGCTGAGAGAAGAGGCCTCAGTCCCTCTTAGAAACTGGGGAAGAAAGAGAAAGAGGTTGTGAGGAACCACCTTGCAGCCCGGTCACTGAAGAGAAACAGGGTGGCATCTGTACCAACTTGGGTTTACAGTCCTGTTCCTTTGATATCAACAGCCAGACGCCACCCTGCCATCTCCTGCTCCTCCACCCGCAGGCCTCCCCTAACTCTCCCTCCCCCATTCCCACTGCTTGCTTCTCATGCCTTTCTGCCTACGTGTGCCTGGCCTATTACTCTGGAAATCCCCTGGAGAGGGCTCAGCTTGGATGCTGCCCACTAGGAGACCGGCCATGTTCTCTCGTTTCTCGTTCTCCAAGGATCCAAGGTGGACAATAAAACAGGATCCCAGTGCCCATTTTGAGCCATAAAGCAACCCTGGCGAGAAGCCTGGTGACACACAAGAACTAGGAAGGTGCCCGTGCTGCTAGGAGAGCACAGGGAACAGGGGAGAGGACCCAGGACAGAGGTGAAGGTGGGGCTTGGAGGTGGGCACACAGCTGTTTTCCACCTCCACTAGCAAGATTGGAGGGGAATGCTGATACAGCAGCTAGAGGAACAAAAAGTTAGACTTTCTGGGGCATTTGCTAAAGCTCATTGGTGACATATACAGATATGAGGAGTATAGGACACAGAGATCTCCCAAGGTCTCCTAATAACCATTAGGTTCTGTGACCTGTGTTGAGGCTCTAGATGGACACTACCCTTGCCCACTTCTTTTGACATGTTGCAGCGACCCCTAGTGGCAGAAAGGCAGTACTGTGGTTCCCACTATGGTCAAGCACAAGGGGGGAGGGGAGGCCAGTGCCTAGGGGACACCGGGCAGTTCTGATGTGGCCCCTGGGAGGGGACAGCAGGAGTTGAGGGACAACTATATAGTAAAAGTTTTGAGATGGTTTTTAAAAAAGCAGGAGAAACAAAGAAGCTGAGGGCAAGAAAGGAGGCAACCTGAGGCTGGTCAGAGGAAGCAGCCTGAAACTACCTGAAAGTGCAGGTATGCAGCAGCCCGTGTGGGAGATTAGCTGGCTGCCGTCTCTTGGTGGAGAGGGAACATCTTGGCCTGGTCTTCAGCCTCGTAGCCGCATGGCAGGTCACTCCTGGAAGAAGAGACCCAGCGTAATCACAGCATTGTCAGCTCCATATAAATGACAGCATTCCTGTCACTTTGCTCTCTCAGCATCCCTGTGAGATAATGAAGGGCAGGAATACAGGGCAAATCAAGGCCAGAGAGATAGAGCTGACTTGCCCAAAGTCACAAAGTTCCCCAAAGTAGGAGGGAAACCCAGGTCATCAGACGTCCATGGCGTTTTCTCCCAGCCCCCATAGCTGGCATGGGGAGGAACCACAGGGAGAATTGGAGGAGGGGACAGTGTTCTACACCAAGGCAGGGGGTGACTGGACCTCCTGGACAACACAGTGATGGCGAGAATGGTTCTCATTTCCTCCACCTTTCCCCAAAGTCTCCAGTGAACCTCTAAGTAAGGCATGAGGGAAATGTAACCATTTCTTCTGGTCCCACCCAGAGAGCCCAAGAGCAGTGGCAACCAGCGTACCTATTGTCATTGATATCTGTGGCATTTCCTGAAGAGAACATCATGGAGAACACAAGATTGGAAAAAGGAAAAAAGAGACTGGGTGTTACTAACGGTCTCCTCAAACCCTCTCTCATCCTAATCCCTTGGAGAAAAAGGTAAGTGTCTTGGCAACATAGTTGCCATCTGGATCTGTGGCACTCGTCTTCAACTACCCCAAGCTGCATCATTATTTTGTTTGAGAAAAAGCCTCCCTGAGCCCTCACAGAGAGGAGAAGGGGAAGGGAAGGGAAGGGTTGGGACAGGCACGTGACCGGAGGAATCCACTTCTAAGCATCCAAGACCCTGAAGGGATGCAGTGTTTGAGCTGTAGGTGCAGGGTCGCTTACTTTTCTGATACTTTTCAACTTGCCCTGGGGATCCCACAGGCTGGTTACCCATCTTTTTCACTCACCATTGTCCATGTTGGCCTTCTGGTAGGAAGCCAAGGGGCCTCCAGAAGATGTGGCCCCACTGCTGGTACAGGAGTTTGCAAAGCTGGATGGAGCAGAGGAGAGAGATGCAACCTCTGGCCCCCACCTTCCACTATTCCGAGGACCACTGATCCACACTCACCCTCAGGGATGAAGCCATCCACCCCTCCCATCCCCAGAGACCAGAGGACAACAAACATGGCCTCAGGCTGGGAGGGCAGATGCCCACCTTCTAATCAAAGGTGTGAGGTTGAGAAAGGGTTAGAGATGAAGCCACTTAGGAAAAGAATTAAGTCTCACCCAATAATTAACCCAGTCTTATGCCTTATAGGGTGCAGAGAGCCTTGGGTTGGGACCTCGGCCCACCCATGGTCACTCACTACATATCTGAGGTGGAGCTAGGTGCAGCCTGCAGGTACAAATTCTGGTAGTTCTGGAATAGGCTGTTAGTGTAACTGATGCACTCAGGGCTCCGGGTGCCATAGGGGTTGGTGGGTGAAGATGCTGGGTAGTGGCCAGGCCGGACGGGTTTGGCTGTGGCAAAGAAAGGAAAATGACCGTGAAGAGGCTATTTGTTACCTTGCAGTTGCCCTGCAAGGTCATTTAGCTAGAGCTGAACTGAGTTGCATGTAAGGTAATTCACTTTTCTACTGTTTGGTAGTGGTGGTGGGGTGAGGCTGGGGTGGGGTTACACTGAGGAATTTGCTGGGTTCCCTCAGGTGGTGATCCCCCCCATACGCCCCCCCGCCTACTGACGCCCACTCCCCACTCACCAATCTGGGCAGAATGGCCCCGTTTGCCAGAGCTCTTGTACCGAACGGCCTCCTTGATGCGGTCCACCTCCTGCTGGTACCGGCGCTTGTCCTTCATGGCGCCCTCCTTGGCCTCCTTCAGTGCACCCTCCAGGGCCTTAACTCTCTCAGCCGTAGCCCTAAGTCGTTTTTCCAACTTAGGAAGCTCACAACGCAGATCTGCATTGTCACGTACCAGCTGTGGGACGAGAGCCCCGGCGGGGAGAGAGGCGAACAAGGCAGCAGAGCCGGGGGTGCGGGTGGGAGAGAGAATAAGGAAAAGTCATGTCAGGGAAGGTGGAGACCATGTGGTTTCCTCCAAAGGCCTCATTCCCTTTACCTAATTGCTGTTCTGGCCAGTTCTTCCCTTCTCCCTTTAGCAAATGGTGGTCAGGCATTAAAAAGTTACATCATTTTCCAGGCAGCAAAAACATGCCAAATCCTCTGTAGCCCAGAACGCTTGGGATAGCAAGAGTTCCAGTCTCCTCCTGGCCCAAACACCACCAGCCCCCCAATATCTCACAGCTGGTGCCAGACCAACAGCCCCAGGGCAACCATGGGAATGAGGCCCCTCCCCCTCCCCCAGAGATGGCTTTGTGGGCATGCACAGGGCGAGGCAGCAAGAGCACAGTAGCAGTTTGGAGGGTGGAGATGGTATTGAGTGCAGGTTAGGTGCAGTGTAGAGCAGGAGCAGAAGCTGGAATACAGGAGCCCACGCACCACACACACACACACATGGCCACCCCATAGGAAGGAAAGAAAATGTTTTGAAGTCTCACAAACATTTATGCTCATCACCTTCATGTTCAAGGATTTCCTGGGCTGTCCCTCTCCCCATTTAAATTAAGCTACAGTGTGGCAGCAGCCACCTTGCATCCAGAAAAGACTTCCTGATCTTTTTACAAGGTTTCACACAATGACTAGGGCCCTACAGATTGCAGAAGGAGCCGGCCTTGGAAGATATCAGGTAAATCAGTGCAGCAGGGAACACTGGGAGAATTGTCCCTTTAATTTTGGACAATCTACAGATTATAAACAGTGTTTTGCTATGACAATAACTTAGCTTAATTTGTAACAGGGTTATGGCCCTGGCTATTTAAGATTCTGTTGACTGAGAGGTTTCTACATCGCTCATGTTTTTCTTTCTCGTCTTGTGTCCCCTGAGGTAGGATATTAGGAGTCCTCTCTCCTATAGGTGAGTAGCTTTTGGTCTCTGAGACTGAGAACAGAGGCAGAGCCTTCATGGGGGAACAGGAAAACAGCCTGTGATTTCCTGAAATGTGCCACAATGTGGATGAACCTGGAGGACATTATGCTAAGTGAAATGAACAAGTCACATAAGGACAAATCCCAGATGACTCCACTTCGGTGAGATTCTTAGAGTAGTCAAAATTATAGAGACAAAGTAGAATGGGGGAGAGGGAAGAGATATGGGAACATACGTATATGTATAACTGATTCACTCTGTTATAAAGCAGAAACTAACACACCATTGTAAAGCAATTATACCCCAATAAAGATGTTAAAAAAAAAAAAAAAGTAGAATGGGGGTTCCCAGCGGGTGGAGGAGCAGGGAATGAGGAGTTACTATTTAATGGGGATGGAGTTTCAGTTCTACAGGATGAAAAGACTTATCTCTGGAGAGGGATGGTGGTGATGGTTGCACAACATTACAAATGGATTTAAGGCCACCGAATGGTGCACTTAAAATGATTAAAGGTCATACATTTTATGTTATGTGTACTTTACTACAATGAAAAAATTTGGGGGAAAAAAGCAATGTAATATGCATTTGGATTAAGAAGGAAAATGAACACAGAAATAAAAAGAATGACAAAACCGATTACAAATGTTTCTTCCCTTTCAACTTTTCTATAATGTCGTTCACACTGTTTTATAATAGGTAAAGGCGGAAAGATGGTACTAAAGCCCTCTGCAGGTCGAAATAAAATAAATAAACCCTGTGGACTATCATTGGGCCACAGTTCTAGGATTTTCTTCATTATTTAAAAAAATAAGAAGATGTACTGGGTATTTACTATATATGCTGGGTATGGCACTGGGAAGAAAAGAAGTTTAAGCTGTAGTTTAATGAGAACATGAGTTTAAAACGAATTTTAAGGTGGATTCGAAAAGAAGGGAATGAAGCATAGGCTAGGGTTTATTTTACGAATCAGTTAAAAGAGCCAGTTGACAGTCTGTTGCATCTGTCTTCAAGGCTCAGCTATTTGGCGCTAGCCAGGGTGCTCCTGCTATGTATGCACCAAACATTTCCTGTCCTGACTCCTTTGGACTGCCCTTTCCACCTCCCCACCCCATACCTTTGAAACCCAGTCTTCCACCTAAGGAACCGCAGCAGCAAGGAGGGGGATAGAGAGGCAGCAACTTAATACACAGGAGTTTTCACTGGCCCTGACCAGGGGCCGGTTGGGCCGTCTGAGGACATCATGTAATTGCCCTGTGTGCCTGCCCCAGGCCTAGGCAGAGGGAGTCCTCTCCATGAGAGAAAGCCCAGCTTCCTGACTTCTTGTCTCTCTGCTCTCCGTCTCTGGCTAACGTCTGACCACTATCCCTTGCGCACGGTCACGGCCCCATGCCTCTGAAAGCTCTTTCAGTTTCAACCTTTCCCTCCAACAGCGTAGGCCTGGGGAATTCCACTTTGAGCAGAGGCAGGCTGGGAGCTTTGGGAAAGGGAAAACAGGCATAGAACCAAGAACAAGGTAAAAGTGGAACCAAATACGGGATAAAGAAGGGATTTGTAGGAAAGGGAAAAGGGAAAAGTAAGGAAAACATGCAAGTAGATTTTCCTAAATGCAAGGGCCTCCAAAGATTTAGGTATCCTAGGCTCCCGGCCTCAAGAGTTCTCTTCACCCCTTACCCTCACTCTTACCTGTTTGTGAACCTTTGTAAGCTGTTCCAGGTTGTTCTCAAGAAAGGAAATCTTCTGCTTTTGGGAGTGAATCCCCCCACTGTCCTCGGGCTCCATTTCTGCACTCTGATGAGAGACAGAGGCAGGAGAAAGGTGTGGCTGTCCTGAGGCCAATCAGGTCCCACCCAGACCAGGCCAAGCCAGCCCCACTGAAGGCCACAGGGTCTGGAGAAGCCTGAGGACAGGGGGAGGATACGGGGGCTGGGAAGACCCCGAGACGGCACTCACTTTCTTGACTCGAGTCGTGACGTCTTGAACGAACAGCTTGCGAAGGTTGTGGAGGGTCTGGAGTTCCCGGGCCTGGAAACAATGATGAAAAATTGGGGTCCTCCAAATACCCGGTCACCGTTCCCCCTCCAAGATGACTGGACCCTTCAGTCTCTCTAGACAAATGAGTCACTCATCCTTTAGGAAAAGATACGTCCTGATCACGCCACAGACTGACTTTGCAGAAAGGCAAGGAGGAATGGGGTTAGGAAGAAATCGGGAGGAAGAACTGAAGCCCTCCACCCACACCCTGTTAACCTGGCAGAGAAGGAAACCACTCACAACTGTCTCCTCCAGACCCTTGAGGTCCTGCTTGGACTGCTCGTGTCGCTCATACAGAAATCTGGAGGAAGAGGGAAACAGAAGAATCTCTCAGGGCCTCCCTGCCTCCCTCTCTCCTCCCTCCTCCATTCCTTTGATCTATATTTTATTATTTATTACACAAGTTACCCATGTTCACAGTGCAGAAATTAGAAAAGAAAAAACAAAGATAAGTAAACGAGTTCCATAAAAAGCCCATGATTCTACTACTTACAGATCAAACCACCGTGAATATTCTGGTGTCCATCTTTCCAGACTCTCCCATGCATGCATATCCCACATAACTGTTATGGGGTTATACCATTCCTACTGTTTGTAACCTGCTTTTTACACGTCACAAAACATCACCCACATCCTTCCATGTCTGCTAATATTGAACAGAAGCCTCCCTTTTTCCCCCTTCCCCACCCCATCAAACTGTTTTTCTGAGGCACTTGCTTCCTATGGTCACCATATTCACATCTAGATTGTGTCTTGCCTCTGCAGTATGTCTGAGTAGGGTCTGCAGGCAGACCCGTCACTCACGTCAGCTCCTGGAGTTTGGTGCTTTTCTCATGTTCTTCATTCTTCAGCTTCTCATAGTCAGCCTGAAGCTTCTCCAGCTCTAACTGGAGCTTCTGATTCAGGCTGCGGGGGGCAAGGAGGTATTGGGGAGGACAAAAAGACGTCAGCGAGAGGCAAAGGGAAGCCCAGCTCCTCAAACACTTTCCTTCTACACGTGAGTCCTGGTAGTGTTGATGCATCTACCTTCAGGTATCAGAGGCAGACTCAGGCCACTGCTTCCATGACAGAGTGAGGGGCCCTGAGCTATCTAATCAGAATAGCCTTGCAGATGGGGACTAGCCCTCACTCCTTGTACGTCCTGGAGTTGGGCTGCAAAGTCGTGTCATTGTCAGGGGAATGACACATGGAAGTTAAAGAACCGGATCCTGGTGCAAGAGGGAGCATCTGAGTAGGCACAGCAAGGGGAGGGGACCGGGTGGAGACGAGCCTCCCTGGGGAACTCTTACTCTTTGAGCTCATCAATAGTCTTCTGCTTCTCATTGATCTCGTCCCGGAGCCGGGCCAGCTGCCGGTGATGGGCCTCCCGGTGGCTGTCCATCTGCAGCTCCAGGGCCTTCTGCAAACAACCCCACCCCAAGCTCAAAGCTAGACTCCCAGACACCCGCTCAGTGAGGACCAGCACAGCCCTTCTGGGCCCCAGTCCTCCCCACGCCTTCCCCACTCACCTTCACATCTTCTGAGTCCTGTGTGTCTGGCTCCTTATCCTTCAGGGCCACTTCATGCACAGTTTCTGAGGGAGAGAGGGGAAGACAGCTTACATCAGACCTACCTCCTCTGGACAGAAATGCACATTGTGACCAGAGCTCCAGGCAGAGCAAGGCACGTCTGCCCAGAATGGGCCCACAGGGATGTTCTTCTGGATGAGGATGGTCCAATTTCATACAGCAGGGACACAGAACAATGCAGGGTTTATGGTTCATGGAAGCTGAGCTACGTGCAAGAGCGTGCTAAGCAGCATGTGAGTTGGACTCCACGATTTCAGTCTAATGCGTTGGTGAGTGTGCCTTTGGGTGGTTTCCTGTGATGTTTGTCACTTTCCCTCCCTGTCCCCTCTGCGATCTTAGATCCCAGGATGCGGGGGTTGGACGTTTAAGAGGGCCTCACCCTGGGCTTGGAGCTTGGCCAGCTCATCACTCAGGGAGTCATAGGACTCTTCCAGGTGCCGCTTCTTGAGCTCCACGCTCTGCATGTATTCCGTCAGGGAGCGGATCTTGGCCTCATGCTGGTGGGGTGAGGGTTCATGAGAGGAAGAAGATGGATGCAGCAACGGACCCAACTCCAGGCAGTGCAGACCTCCGTAAGCTCCGCCTCTCCTCCCTTCCTGCTACACCTCCCATGGAGATGCAGGGTCGAGGGACATTCCTCTGGAGACCGTTCCTTTAGACCCTCTTGGATCAGAGGGCAGTATCCCCTGATCCTTCACTTCTCTAGCCTGGACCCTCTCATGCCTCCCCCCAGCTCTTCTGTCCTTGACTTCAGTTGACCCTAGGCTCTTGACATAAACGTGGGTGCTAGGAGTTATCCCATAAGCGCAGAGTTGCCCGTCCTCTCCCACAGCACCCAAAGGCTCTGGACCTCCGCACTCACCTGGGAGATGAGAAGCTGGCAGGATGAGAGCTCCCGCCCAGTCACTTCCATCTTGCGGTGACATTCGACCTGGAGGTTCTCCAGCTGCCGGCACCGTTTAACCACAGACTTGACTTCGGATTTGATTTTGCTGATGTAGAGTCGGGCCACAGTGAACTCCTCCTCGATGGCCCCGCTGATCTCCACCGGCTGTGGGAGAGCAAGGGAGGGAGGAGGTGCCTCTCTGCTGCCCGGAAGCCCTTTATCCATTTCCTTCTACTCGGCCTAGCCCCCAGGCACACACACCCAGAGACACAGGGACTCAGGTGGGACGGGTATGTTCCAGATGACTTCTAGCAGCTCTGTATCACCTGTCATCTCACACTAAATCCCTCTCTCTGTGCTTAAAGATCCAATTCTGACAGTCACCTTCTTTCATCCTGTAGAGCAATAGGATATTCTGTAGTCAAACTGACCTGCTTGATCACCCAGATGGGTCACTGTCACTGCCACAGATCTGCATATATCATTCCTAATTTTGTGCTCCCATCTCCAAATCCTGCTATAAGCACATCTCCACTGCTTCTTTATTCAGCAATGTGAATTTCAGTTGGTGTGTGGATTTAGAATGTGTATTTCAGTTGCGTCTATGCAAACCTCTACCTGCTTTCCTGTGTCTAGTTTGCAGGCGTGTTTCCTGGATCTTTGGCACCCCCCCTTCCCAGTATCCCTGAGGGCCTGGATTGTCTCACTGGCACCTCCCACCAGTGCCCAGAACAAGAATGACCTGAACAAGGCTGCCGCCTCTTTCTCCACTCACCAGCTTAATCTCCCCGTTGCCCACGATGACACTGAACTCACTCAGGTCCTTCATCAGCCCATTCAGCACCTCAGCAATTCGTTTTCGCTGGTGTCCACTGACCTCCTGTAGCCGCTGCAACTCAGACTCCAGGGACAGCATGGTGGCCTGGGGACAGCCCTTCAGGTCATCCCATCGCCATCTTCCTGCTCCCCTCCCCAGCCCGGGCAGAGGCCTCTCCCTTCATGCATGACCCTGATGGCTGCTATGAAGAGAACATAAGCCCCGCAGAAGGGTCTGGAAGAGAGAGGGGTCAGAAGGGCCAAGTGCAGTGGCGGGTGGGGGAGTGTCCCACGACACACTGAATGGCAGTGCAAAGGTGCAAACATGATTCTGCCCTATCAGGAAGCAGAGGTCCCTTTGGATGTGGAGGATGTTCTGAGGCCAGGGAGCTCCGAGCCGGCTACTCACCACCTTCTGAGACAGCTCGTCCACCAGAAGCTGGTTCTGCTGGTTTTTCTCCTCCACCTCCTGGGACTTCTGGTCGTAGTTCATGGCCAGCTCCTCCAGTGCCTGCAGCACCTCCTTCACCTCATCCTTCGCGGCGTCGTTCTCCGACTGCAGGTGGCTCAGCTCCTGCTGGACCTTCTCATTGTCTCCTCGAGTGGACACCAGCAGCTGCAAGGGAGGGGCGAGCCACGTGAGGGAGTCCCCTGCCGGCGACCACTTCGACGGCCCCTTGGTCTGGGGAAGCTGAGCCCCCCACCCAGGTATAGGTCTAGGAGAGAAGCAAGGGCCAAAGCAAGAGTCAAGAGGAAGTGGGCTTTCCGCTTCACAGAAGTAGGGCAACAGAATGAGGAAGAACCCGGACTCCGGCACCCGTGCTTTAAGCAAAACCCCAATTAAGTTCCCAGATTTCTATAGTCTTGGAGGGTGACTCAGCCCTAAGCAGAATGCCCCTTCTTCCATCTTATCAGGAAAAGGTCTTTCTGATGCCTTTCAGGGATGAACACACAACCCTCTCCTCTCGTGTCTTGCCCTCCTTCCCATTACCTCTTCCTGGTCCAGCATCTGCTGCTTGAGCTTCTCTATGAGTTGGCTCTGCTGGTTGATCTCATCATCCTGTTGGAGGCAAAAGGGGTAAAGGTGGGGTGAAGGGAGCTACTCTTTCCAGTGTAGACTTACAGGGTTGGGGTACACGTGGATCCTGATAAAAATCCAGCTAGTTTAGGCTTTGATTTAGAAACTCCACATCCTAAAAAAAGAAAGGGGTCTTTCCCTCGGCTTCTTTCCTGGACCCCCTGCCCTCATTTTTTAATCCCTTTCTTCCTAGAAGTTGGTATAACCTTGACAATGCACAGCAAAAGCCTTTAAATGTTCATATCGTTTAACTGAGAAAACCCACTCTAGCGCTCCATTCTAATCAAATCATTCCAAAGCAAAATCTTATGCACAAGAGACAAAGATAGTCATTTCAGAGCAATTTATAATAGCAAAAACAACCAACCAACAAAAAAACCAACAAAAAACCCTAGAAGGCCTGTAAATAAGTAAATGGTTAAACACATTCTGATAAATGGACTGTTAGGCAGCTATTTTAAAATACTTTTATGAAGAATTGTTAACAACGTAGGAAATTGCTCATTATATAATGAGGAATGAAAAAGTCGGATGCAAAGTTACATATACAGTATAATCTCAATTGTGTGGCTTTATTTCTGAATGGTGGGGGGAGATGATTTAAATTTTCTTCTGGGGCTTCCCTGGTGGCGCAGTGGTTGAGAGTCCGCCTGCCGATGCAGGGGACACGGGTTCGTGCCCCGGTCCGGGAAGATCCCACATGCCGCGGAGTGGCTGGGCCCGTGAGCCATGGCCGCTGAGCCTGCGCGTCCGGAGCCTGTGCTCCACAACGGGAGAGGCCACAGCAGTGAGACGCCCAGGTACCGCAAAAAAAAAAAAAAAATTTTCTTCTGTATATTTTTATCTTCCACATTTTCAAATAATGAACATTCATCTCTTTTAAAATCAGAAAAACAGCAGGATAAGCTATTTCTTTAATCCCTCGCTTACCATCCCACTGGGCTCTCACCTCTGTGCCCTGCCCGACTGTCCTTACCTTGTCATCAAGCTGCTTGTAGAGGCGGCGGATCTCCTCCTCGTACTTCTGCCGCTCCTCAGGCGCGATGCGCACCACGATGGATGAGTTGTCGTTCACGGGCGTTTCCTCACAGAGCTCAGCTCCCAGGGCAGCATCCTCCCCAGCCAGGCGCTCCGTCTCTGGCACGTCCTCTCCTGGCAAAGGGGCGGAACAAGGTGAGGGATGGGAGAAGGGACAGCTGCATCCGAGGGTCCTTCCTCCCTCACTGTACAATGCGGAGACCTCCAGGCCTCCATCTCTCTTGCCAAATGGACCGTCAACCTTTCGGGGGGTGGGGGTAAAGGCAGTCAAGCTGCTCTCGCTTTCTCTCATGACTGCTCTACTGCACCCCTCCGGAAACGCAGCCCCCCTTGGAGATCGTAGGAGCCCTCTCTGGCTCCCTGCACCCACTGGACCCGTTGCTAACCACTGCGCCACCGGCTCAGCTCTGTCTCCAGCTTTGCAATCGTCTCCTTCTGAGCCTTTGTCTTCTCCTTCTCCTTCTCATATTTCTTCTTCCACTGCTCAGCAGTCAACTCCAGATTCACGGAGGCAGTGTTCTTAATGGTCTTTGCCCTGGAGAGGAGGACGAAGAGATGAGACCTCCATTAAGGCTCACAAGACCCTGAGGGGAGAGCACAGCAGGGGCTGCGGCAGGGAGTTAGGGGACCCTGCCACCGACCGCTGTCCAAACATCAGGGTGGACTTGGTCTCCGCATCATTGTAGTTGGACGGTGAGCAGCAGATGAACATGGTTGTCCGGCAGTTTCCTCCCAAGGAGTCCTGGAGAATCCGTGTCATTTTGCTGTCACGATATGGAACGTAGCTTTTCTGGGGGAAGAGAGAGGCCGCAAATCAGAAAAAAAAATTCAACGGGGGAATCAGAAAGGATGGTGGGGGAGTTCCCTGGTTGCCTACTGGTTAGGCTTCTGGGATTTCACTGCTGTGGCCCGGGTTCAATCCCTGGTCAGGGAACTGAGATCCTGTAAGCTGCATGACACAGCCAAAAAAATCTAAAAAATAAAAATAAAGAAGGGACGGTGGTGCTGACTAGGGGCGGAGCAACCCATGAATTGGCATGATGAGGTGGGGCATTAGGAGAAGGCAGAGGACGGGGTGGGGCTTGAGGGCTGCGGACACCTAAGGAGCACTCACTGTGCCCTCAGCCAGCGCAGAGATCACGTTCCCCAGGGCTGACAGGGACTTGTTGATATTCTTGGCCTCGTCCAGCACGGCTCCCTCTGCTCCAGTCTTGCTGACCTACCAGGGCACGAAGGGGTGAGTATGTCGTGAGCGGCTGCAGAGGGAGTGGGCTATCCTCACCTCTTCTCCACGTAAGGTGGCTTAATCCAAGGAGACGGGGAGAGGGAA